TGAAGTGACAAATACATTTGTGCTCGGGAAGGATGGCCTGGTGTGGTGAAAATATTGGATCGGGGGTGAATTTGCCTGGAAAGGAAATCCTTTTTCTTTTTCTTTTTCTTTTTCTTTTTCTTTTTCTTTTTCTTTTTCTTTTTCTTTTTCTTTTTCTTTTTCTTTTTCTTTTTCTTTTTTTTTCTTTTCTTTTCTTTTTCTTTTTTTTTCTTTTCCCCCTTCTTCTAGGTTCTAATTATATTCAATTAAAGCCTAATCCAGAGAGTAGTACATTATTCTTCCCCACATGGCTTTTTTTCTTTACTTAAAAACAAATCTCCCCTCGAGGCAAGACTGGGTAGGGAGGCCCATTAGTTGGAGGTCAGTTAACTTGTCCTGTCCCTGGATGTGTTTTGGGTGTTTTGGTGGGGTTTTTGCTAGGAATGGCCTCTGCTGGTGCCAAGGAGGTGGCAGCAGGGGGGTGCAGCAAGCAGGAGGCTGTCGCCCCAGCGCATCTCGCCACGGGTGGGATTTTCCCGGTGCTCCCATGGGATTTTCCTGGTGCAGCCGTGCGTCCCCGCACGCTGCGGGGCTGCCTGGGACGCAGTGTCCCTCGTAGGAAGGAGGAGCTTGGCCGGGGCTCTGCGCGCTACCTGCGCCCTCCCCGTTAAGGAAGGTGGGTGGTTGCTGGGGGAAATGCTAAAGAAAATGTTATTTGATTCTGATTCCAACTGAGGAGCTTGGAAGGGGAGATTATCCCAAAGATACTGTGCATATCTCCCTGTCTTCAGTCCTTCTGCTTAGGATCGGTCTTGCCCGCTTTCTTCTGCGGAGGGCTATCAGTCAGAGGAGATAAGGCTTGATTTCACAGGCATTTTTCAGGTGTAGCACCGACTTCAGCAGGCTGTGACCACTTGTTCCTGCCTCCGATCCTCCCCCCAGGTTGTGTCAACAGAGCTGTTTGTGCTGCCGGGGAACTGGGTCAGAGGAGTTTGGGGCTGAGAATAGGCTGAGCGTAACCTCGCCGAGGTTGTTCTTGGTGGGTGTTTGTCGTCAGCCTGGGCTCTTCACACCGTCCTGCAGTATTATTTTTTTTTTATGGGCGTTTTGAAATACGGCAATTCAGAGGGGCCTACAGCTGCTCCTTTTGCCGTCTGATTCCAGASCCACCACAAGGGGCCTTTGGGGACGCTGTAGTTGCCAGGAGGCACCGGGCRGGGAGGAGGGAGCCCGGCTCCCCCCTGGGGTGTCCGAATTACAGGGCTCCTGTGGCGTCTATGCCCCGAGACACTGCACTCTGGCTAGGAGCTCGGGGTTAGGGCTGCAGAGCGTGAGCGCAGCCCGGCGCGTTGCGGCCCCGAGCGGCGTTTCCGCCACGGGACCCCCGGGGCCATCCCGTTGAGTCCCCGCCGGCTGCAYGAGGCGCCCGGGCTGCCCTACGTGCCCAGGCTGTGCGATGAGGAGGGCTCAGGGCCGCCCCGCTCTGCTCCTGCGCCCATGCTGCGGCCTAAAGGAGCCACCGCAGAATCCGTCTGGAGCTGGGAATGGGTTCCCACCTGCTCCCCCCGGCAGTGCGGGCACCTTCACACCCGGCTCGCTGCCTCGTCCGTGGCTGAAGTCTTTCTTGAACTCTTAGCAAGTCATTTCACCCTGGCTTGTATTTCTCCTTCACGCCGTAAATGCAGTTGCTGCCTCCGTCATATTTAAATTCAGCATCCAGTAGTACAACAGCAGAAGTACTTGCAGTGCAATTCTCTTAATCCTTTCTTTGAGGACTAAATACATTTCCCATCAGCTGATGTTCAGTGGTAATTAGACCACACACTATGCAGTTCATTATTACTAATTTTTTTTTTTCACACTGCTGAATGTTCAGTTTAGGGCATCCATTAGGCCGGATTTTCCAGTATGTTACTCATCCAGGAATGGATGGAAAACCAGAATAACTAGTGATGTGCAGTGCTTGCTMTTTTTGAAAATCAACTTGTTCTCTTCGATATTCCCCCAAAACATCCATCTCCCACAGACTTCCTCGAGTGGAATTAAAGGAGCTGCACAGTCACATCTCTCSGTAACTCTGACCTCTCTCTAAAGTTGGAGACTGAGAGCAGGCCAAAGATCAAAGCAGAAGAGGAGGGAGGCAGTTTTCCCAGGCCTCTTATTGATTGTGGTGGTCACATAACCCCTTCCTATGGAAAGAGCAGCAGAGACAACGTCCTTGTTTTGGCGAGGAAATGATAGTACAGCAGGTGACATGTCTTCTTCAGGAACGCCAATTCCCTGCAGACCATGGGTAGTTTCCCCAGTGCAGTATGTTCTCTTGGGATTATAAACCATTCAGCAGAGCTGCTGCCTATGTGGGTGTACATTTCGTTTCAGAATTTTCATTTTCAAATCCTGGTCTAACAGTTCATCATGGGATAAATCTTTAGTAGTTCAGTGGTTAGGACAGTAGTTGTCAATTAAAAGAAAATAGTTAAATAATTCATATGTACTAACATCMCAGGACACTGTCAGACTCCTTTTTAATTGCACCAACTTTGTTAAGAAAATAATTGTTACTTATGAAATGTTTAATTAAACTATATTAAGTGTGTTTGCATGTAGAACTTGAATATTATGACGTACCCCTAAGTGGAGATTATGAGCCTAATGTTATTTTATGTATCCATAGATTCCATAGATTTATTAATTTTTATAACAGTGGAAGGCCATGGCAACTTCTGGYTTCATGCGTTTTGCTGTTGCATGTATTTTGGCTATTTGGCAATTATTTATTTAATACTGTGGGAAATCTTGGCGCCCAGGATTGCTCAGCTGTGGAGATTTTGTTTCCATCCTGAGCGTGGAAGAGGTTTTATGTTTTGAAGAGAGCAGCCGCCTTTGCTATCAGCGCAGGAACTCTTACATCCCCATTAACTTTCCTGGGAGACTGAATGAGCGAGGGCCGCGGGTTAAGGGTCAGGTTAAGCTGCTCCGGGTTCGGGAAGCTTTGCCGTGACCTGCGTTTAACTTTAAAGCCTCCCTCCGAGTCAGCTGAAGCCACCCCGKGTGCTCTGCGCCTTCACTGGCACCTTGGGAGCTCCGGGGCCAAAAYCCCCTTCTGCTTTTCAGGAGGTGTCACAGGGTTGCTCTTCGCTTTTATTTTTGCTTTACAAATATATTAAAACCTGCCTTTTTGGGGACTGTTCTCCGCTTAGTAAAAGCATGAAAAGGAGTAGGCGACTGGGTGCACTAATAAGAATGATAGCCTGGTAGGAATTAGCTTAATTAAAGTCAACCAAACCAGTCTCAGAAAGCATAGCTTTAAAAAGCCTCTCTCAAGAGGAGTAATTGACTACTTAAGATAGTCCTCGGTAGACATTTACTGTGTGTATTTAATGGTTTTTGTAACTCCACTTTGGCATACTTAAGTTTTGTTCTTTTTTTTTTTTGGTCAGGGATAATGAATCACTTATTTTAATCTTTTGAATCATTATTGGACGTTAAAGTTATTTTGCTTCTGAATAAAACCAAATAAAACTTGTAGCAGGCATCTAATTGTCTAGCTGGTCCGCTTTACTCTAGGAGTGTTTYTGCTCTCAGTATAATTTACTTCTTCTCAGACTGTTTTGTGAAATCATTTATTTTAATCATTTAACGTGCCTGATCTTGATCACATTTGTCCTTGCACTCAARAAGAATAATTGCCCCCAAACTGCAAGAGTCCCAAGCCTGCATTCATTAGGAGGCAAAATTACTTCTGTAATGGGAGTTTTTCCCCTCCTATAGGTTGCTGGTTGGGCCAAAGGGCATCTTATCTTCTGGTTTCTTGGTGGTCTAAAGCTTGGATTTCTCTTTACTCGCAAGTYGCTTGTGTGGCTGAGGCCAAATGCRTCTTGGAGACCTATTTGTGCTCCTGGGAAAGGTGGAATTCTGGGCTGGGAAAGATAAAATCCCAAGACACAAGAGCCATTATTTACCTGTATGTTAAATATTTATGCTCTTTTGTGGCTTAAACTGAGCACTATTGTCTAAGTGAAACAAAGACATTACTGACTATTAATTTTGAAAGTAAATCCTGAGTAGTCTGAACTTTCCTTTTTTTTAAAAAAAAAACAAACAAAACACCCCAAACAAATGAAAACCTGCCATGAGACAACTTTATTTTTATCTTATTTTATTTTGGTGCTTAGGCAAAGCAGTGTGCTGAGGGTACGCTTGGGCTAACCTTAGAGGTGTTAATCCAAGATGTATTTAAGCACTGGGAAAGTTAAGGCCACCTTTGGTTTGCAGTTCTTTGTATCATGAGCGCAGACAGACAGTAAAGATCTGGAATCTAAATTTTGTTAAACTTTTTCAGCTTCTGGGAGATCTTTCCTTTACCTTCTTCGTAAATGTTCACAGTAGTTCAATTTATGCCTGTGAGTTCACGTGTACATCAGTTTTAATGCAAATATTAGGAATATTTGCTTTAAATCTGTTTTACAGTAGCCCTACAGCTACCTGGGGAATTCTCTAAGGGAAAACTGCACTGTTGCTGAAGAGTTGTAGAGATGTTGAACCACTTGTTTGTAAATGGYCACCTAGTCATCTAGGGGATGTAAATGGTCACCTGGTCATCTAGGGGATGAAGAGCTCAGAATGTGACGTGGTGGATGCCCACACGGCGCTATAAAGGCAGCCTCTTGTGTTAGCATCTTGCTCAAAAAATCTGTGTCTTGCCTTGGGTTTCCACCTTGGAGACAGGTACCTTATGTCACCTGAGCACCTTCACGTCACCCAAGAGAGGAGTTTATGATGAAAGGATCCCGTGGGCTTGATGTGCTGGTATGGGGGCTAAACCAGCGTAAGCCTGTGTTGTCTTCTCCAGTTACGTTGATACACGTGGGTACTTGGTAGCAGTGGTGTGCACTAAACGCTGTAGCATGTTGTGCCGAGCAGGTGATGGAAGAGGGAAGAATAACTGCACAGTTTCCCAGCAACACTGTGGGACACAGCATTGTGTCTGGGTCCATCCATATGAAGGATATTTTCACATAGGAGCACATCTGGGGGACGTGTCTTGCCCTGGCAAGTATTAGTAGACAAGGAGAGATGGATGCATCCAACCTTGTGGATTGATCGGTGCCAAGATGGATGGAGTTCTTGTTTTGGGTGCTCATGGTCCTCCTGTTAGACCAGTTGTACTTGGGTTGCAGCCGTACAGCTGCATCCCTCTCCTTGCATTCAGGGCAGATTGAGCAAAGAGACTGTGGACTGCATGAGCTTTGCATGTCCAAAGCATGTTTTGCATGTCCATGGTGCTCATGGGCACCAGCCTTGGCGGAAGGACATGGATGGGTGAGAGGAGGTTCTGGAAACCTTCCTAAGTAAAAATCAAACTCCAACCACAAAGTTGCCTTCCTTCACCATTGCTCRTGAATATATTAATGACTATTAAGGCTATGTAGAAGTTAGTTTGTAAATTGTATCAAGTCACATGAGAGTGTGCCTGCTGTGGGATTTCATAGCCCCAAGCGGTGGCTGATGCAAGTTCATTATCTTCAGTCTGAAGAAGGTCTTGAAATGCCAGCACCTCATTCAGTTACTTACTGACTCTAGGATGGTAAAGTGAGTACAATAATACAGCCGTCCTTGTGAGACCTCTGCAATAGAGCTGTCCTTCTCGTGCTGGTGTATTGCAGTGACTCAAGAGACAAACTGAGCACCAGAGTTTTGGACATCTTTGTTTGTACGCTAGTCTTATAATTCCCACTTTTATAAAATTCCAGAACTTTCATCTTAGACTAAGCTCAAAATTATCATTGTACCAGTGCCAAATCACCATAGCTGGTATCAATGTGTAAAGCTTACCTATTTCCTCTCTTAAGAGCAAAGACCATAAATCATGCAGGGCTGGTACAAACAAGACAACCTGTACTAAACTGCTRAGGAGAAAAGATTTTACAAAACTGAAGGTCATGTGGAGCTTAGTCTTGACACAAACGTTCAAGTGTTGGGGGAATCCAGCCTTTAAGATACTTAACTACCTGCCAGTCTTAAACATAAAACTGATAAACTGAACAGTTTCATAAAAAATGAAATGCATTTGGCAATCACCATCCCCTTAATCGAAACTTAGCCCCTGAAAGGGAATTTGCAGCTTCTGTGCTGGGGTTGTTGGGAAGGGCTTCACGAGGGCGGGAAGGGAGCGTGGGCTCCGTGCCCAGGAGAACGTGCTCTCCTTGGACACTTATAACAGCCCCTCGAGCTGGGGGGGACTTCCCATCGCTGGAATGGATCAGGAGGTTGAGAAGTCCCTGCAAAGGAGCAGGGGGTCGGCACGTGCGCACCCAAGGCCCTTTTCTTATGGGAAACCCTCCTTCCCATCCCAGCGACCTTCATTACAGGAGCAGTTTTCTTTGAGCAAGAAGGGTTGTTTTGGCTGACTGCTTTGGATATAATCTTTGAAATGATTGACTATGTTAAATCATGATAATTAGGGCTGGCCATTAACCTCCCGCAGAGCTGATTGCAGGCATGGGGGCGAAGAGGAAGTTTTTTACTTTTCTGGCCGCTTTTGTTTCAACCTGTTTGCAGAGCAAACACCAATGCGAGGGTGTCACTTGGTTGTATCRTGGGCTATCTATGGAGCTGGAGAAGAAGAATACTTAGTTTTTTAAACACAAAAACTTGCATTTAGAGGAAAAGGGTTGTGGGGAGATGCTGGGGAGTCTGTGGGTCTCTGCAGCTCCCACCTTCCCTCCACTCGCTCGCTCAGAGGTGACTTGGAGCGGCCGCCCGCCTCGCGTTAACTCTTCCCCAAACAGGTGCCCCCATTTACAGCCCCTCTGGGGACCAGCCCTTTCCTCTCGCGGCGTTCACGTTGTCTCTGCCGGGTTAGAGACTGGCTCCTTGCCGCCGTTTCTGCAGGGTGAGCCCCGTGCGACTGCTTGAAAGGTGTTTSTAAAGGGCAGTTGCAGCCGGCGCCGCGCGCTCCTCAGTTGCTCCTGACGATGACACGACGTGAGAGGCTGCTGGGATCGGGAGCACGAGCACAGGGAGGAGGGTGGCCCGGGGTCCCCTGCATGTCGTGTTCCCCGGCAGCACCCCAAAGACACGCGGGGCAAGGAGCARGGCAAACATCTTGGGAAGGGCCAGCAAGAGGCCACAGAGGAAAGAAAGTGTTTGGAAATCAACAGGGGCTCCTAAAAATCCGGATAATTTAGAAGAAAGGGAAAAATCTGATCAGTAGTCATTGTGTGTGTTTTGTGATAGGAGGCTAATAAACGCTCTTCCCCCCCAGAGTTCATAAAACGCTGCTCCGTGTGCCGGGTGGGTTATTTTGTTTTCCATTAAGTAAAGCAGCTCGTACACAGTGCTGTGCACCAGAGAGGGGCTAATCTGCCCCCTTGCTCAGCCGACACCAAATGCACCTCGCAGCCGGCGCCGCGGGGCCCCCTCAGCTCCCACTCGCCTCCAAGCCCTGCACGAGGCTCCCTTGGGATGAGGCTCCTTCCCACAGACTGCTCCTCAGATCAGATAGCGGCTCAGGTGGGCGCTGCTGGAATGAGCCCAGGCTTTTTGCTGTCACTAAAGGTCTCTCTGGGAGGCCCGGGGAAATGGGAGTGCTGTAGTTGGGGGGGAAGAACAAAAAGCACTGAAGAAAATAGCAAAAAAGTTATAGGAAAGTTATGCTAGTCTGGCCAGTTATGTCAGTAGTTTGAGTCCAAGGTAACTCTACCTTCTTTGTAGTTTTCTAAAAATGGATCAATTTTTAAGCTCTAAGCTATTGAAAGCATCAGCAKGATCCTCGTAACTTGACCCAAAGCCTGACAGTGCTTTTGCAACACACCTCTCTCTCAACTACTTTTCCCCTGCCACTCTGCATACTAACTTGGGTTGTAGGGGTGTTACTTCTTTTTTTCCTTTGAATAGTTCCCCATATCCCTTAGTTTACTGAGGTATTAAAGCAGCAGGTCCTGTGATCTTTGTTTGCGTTTCCCCATTACAGTGGCAATTTCAGCCACAGTAGCCCCTTGCCTGATACCACGGGGCGCCGGGCAGTGTCCACCTCTCGAGGCTGGAGGAAGCTGCTCTGCTGCAAATCCCGATTTCTCAGGATCTGGCCTCTGTTTGCCCTGGGTCTGTAACTGTGTGTGGAGAGTGAAAAAGTAGGAATTGAGCCCAAACTTACTGGCTTCTTGGGCTCCATCCACAGGACCCTCTGCTTGTAGCCTGTTATTGAAAAGCTGACCAGTGTATTCTAAAAGCTGAGACTAACTCAATGCTAAAATGATTATTTCCAATATTATTTTATATATTGCCAATTTTTAAATATTTTCTCAAGTCATAATTGAACTATTAGTATAACAAYTGAAAAATACATGTGAATTATTTTATGTATGCCCACATTTAAAAAAATGGTTACGTACTGACAATAGCCAGTAAATATTTCTAATACCTACCTAAATATTTGTAATAGCAAGTTTAATACAGAGTTGCTTGCTTGATATATCACTTTCATTCAGCTTTAGATGTTCTTTAGCATATGTTGTGAATTACAAATGAAATAATCCCTTCTGGGTCACCATTTTCTTCTCCCTGTCTCTGCAGTAACAAGCGACTTGTGGCCTTAGTGCCAAGTGACACTTCATTCAACACCAGACGAGCCTACACCAGCGAAGATGAAGCCTGGAAATCCTATCTGGAGAATCCCTTAACGGCAGCTACCAAGGCTATGATGAGCATAAATGGTGATGAGGACAGTGCTGCTGCTCTTGGCCTATTGTATGACTATTATAAAGTAGGTAACTCCATCATTATTCGTCTTCACTAATAGGGACCCGCTCTTAAGAGGCCTGAAAAGAGCCAGTGTTGAAAGACAGAAGTCACTACATCCCGTGCTCTCTGTGACACTTGTATGAAGCATGCTTTCCACTTTAGAAAGCCTGTTTGAGGCTGTTTGGATGTGTTTGGCCCTGGAGGGAACGTAACAAAATCAGAATTTTCATGTTAAATTGGCAACCATGATTTCTTCTTCAACACAGCATTCTTCCCTTTTAAGAGCCTTGCATGAATAATCCTCCTCCTTTTTTTGTGCTTCTGAACCTGAAATAATATTTAAAAATGGGAAAGAGTTCCCATTTCATCAGTTCCCTTGTTCATCAGTAAGTATGTCTGCTTTCCTGTTTCATTATGCACCTGTTTCAGTTTGCTCTTTAACTTACTTATCCCATCAGTTTCCCTTGTTATTTTTGTTGTAAATTGTTACTTATCTCTATGCAAGCCATAAATTGAGATCTAGCCCTTGCACAGGCAGTGTGCACAGAAAGGTGGGGAACAGAAAAGGAGCTGGACACATAGCTAGAAATCTAATTCAGTTTATAGCGGAAGCATTGACTAACAGTATGAGTTTATGTCAGATTCTAAACCCTAGGCTTTATACACAATTTTGAGAGCAGCTTCTTTGTTTTTCATATATTTCGTAGTGTCTAAGTGGGATATGTCTGAGATTTCTGCTGAGAGCAGAGGAGAATGCTATAGGATGCACCTCTGTGTAATGCAGTCACTCYGCTCTGAAACCCAGGCTGACCTTTTTATGCTCTGCAAGCAAGAACTGGTGTCACCTACCAAACAGTGAAATATGAAGTTGTTTATTTCACTCAACTGTCACAGTAAATGGCGTTTTGCCTACGGTTAAATATTGTTTTCTTTACTGATTATATTTCAAGAGACAGTTCTATGTTGTTATCAGTAGAGAGAGGCTTTTCCTAAGGAGAAAGAAGAAAGGTCCGGTTCTTCACAGAGCTATGAAGTTATGTGACTTCAAAAAATGCAGGATGTCTAAGAGAATTTAGTGTTGATTTCTATCTTAGTAATACCTTTGCACTACATGTAGCAGTTCATTAATCTTCTGATTTTTTTAAGAACAAACAACAGTTTGTTTCCTCCTCGGAACTGTGCTCCACAAGACATGTCCAGTTCCTTGTTTCACACAGTTGCAGTGCAATCAGAAATAGCTATTTCTGGCTTGATGTGTCAGTGGCAGAATAGGATAAGTCTGCTGATTCGCTCAAAATGGAAATTGAACTTAACCTCAGTCTTGGTGTTGTAGTGTCAATGTAAAAGAGGACTTCCAGTGTACAGGACTCCAAGACTCTCTCAAATTGCCAAGATKTATTGCCTGGCTTATTTGTTCTGACATTCTGGGTAATTTTTTTAAGTACTTTTCCTAGACAATGGCAATTGCTTGACCTTAACTCTTCTTTTCTTTCTTTTTCTCTCTTTCATATAATGATATTTACCTAAACATTGGCCCTCCTTCAAGGGTAAATATCTTAACAAGGAAATTAACAGGTGTGAACRGTGGCTTGGATTCCACTTGGAAAATATGTGAAGGAGCTTTGTTAGCTAGGAGGACACTTAATAGAGAGGGAGGGAGGAAGACTCTGCTAGAAGGAAGGGCTCTGGCTAGAWTCTGCTGCTGTCTTGCAGAAATAGCTGGTGTTAACCTTACCTGTTAAAGTGCAGCGTGGTATTGCTTCTTCTCTAAGCTGAGATGTTTCCTGATCTTTCTTTGAAGTATTTAGAGATAATAGGCACAATTTTGGCCCATTTCTAGGTCTATYCTTGCTCTGCAATCCTGTCATTTAACTGCTGTGATGGAGGGATATAGCTTAYTTTGTGAAAAATAGATTAGGAGTGTTAGCTCCCAAACTGCTGGTTCATCAAAAAGAGAAGGAAAAAAAAAAGAAAAAAAAAACACAAAAAAACCCATAGAGCAGCAACTTTGCCCTTGGTGATTTCACATCTGTGCCAGTTTCAGGGAATAGCTRTGTGGGAAAACAGCTCAAGTCACTTTTGTTGTGAATTCTGAGCCCATTGAGGGGCCAGCTCTGACTCAGTCCTTACTTTTCATGGCTGTTAATGCACTCAGCAAAGCAGAAGTCACTGTTCTCTGGTGACCTGCCTCTGTGGAGGACTTTCTCAKTAAACTCTTGTGGTTTAATTGGAAACGCTTTTTGCAATTCAAAAAAGCTAAAATGGTCTCCATGCAACATTCATCAAAGCAGTAACACACTTTCATTCACATTTTTTACTATTCAGTGAAAGCATGTGTGAGTTTGTGAATATAAGCTTGGATTTCAACATAGCTTGATTGTCCAAAACTAGAATGTTTGCTCTGGATTTTTTCTGCACTTAAGAGCTAAAGAAGAAAGTCTCCACATTATTCCCTTTGCCAGTTATCATTGTGTTCATGATCAGTCTCCCAAAGAAAAGCAGTTCCTGACATCTGTGAATGAGACAACACAGATTTCGTTGCATATTCCAGTTGTTAGACAAGTCCAATCTGAAATTGCAAATATCTGACAGTTGCATTTACCTGACTCTGCCTTATGATGTTCTCAGGTTCCCAGAGATAAAAGGCTGTTGTCTGTTAACAAAGTGAGTGATAATCAAGAAGACCAAGATAAAAGGTACAGTATTATTCAAAATCATACACCCAAATAGTAACAATGTTGATCAGTTGTGAACTAAAGGAACTATGATAGCCTCAGGGCTTATGGTTTTCTTTCTAAAGATAAAAGAAGAAAGGCTGTTTGGGGAGGCAAACTCAAACTTTACTCCTTTGTAATTTATTAAAACGTTAAACCGGATTATTAAATGTGATAGTTGCATGAAATCAGAAAGTTAGGACAAAGTTTCATGGTTTGTCTGTCTTTGTTTTGTTCTTTACTGCTGCTGATAATAGTAAAATTAGGTTATATAGGCTAGTATTATAGGCTATTGCCTATTTATTTTCTTTCAGTTTTCTTTTTCTAGAGCAAAAAAACAAGTAGTTTGTCTTCAGTAACCTGCTTTGAACATTTTTATTTAACATATTTTCTAGAAGCAGATAAAGTAAAATAATTTGCTCAAAATGTTTTTCTCCTCTCAAATTTCAGCCCTGCTCAGTAGATTGAAAGGAACTGTAATGTCTGGGGAGATTTCTTGCGCTGAAAACCAAGCAGAATGTTAGACCTACTAAGAGTTCCTGGGGGGACAATTTTATATGAGCACACCCAGTACTGTGAGCAACCAGCTCCTTTGCAGCAGCCCCACGTAGAGACGTGGGAGCTCTGCTGGAAATGCCCTCGCAGCCRCTGGAGTTCCTAATCCACTTGGATCCAGTGGGATGCCTTGGCACCTTCTGGCAGAAGTTGGATATTACTGGAGGTCACAAACAGTTGYGGCCCCGACTGCCTGGAGGAGCCTGAATCCCGTAGGAATTTTACTGTTGTTGTTCCCCCTCTCTGTTTCACCTGGGGATAGCTCTACAGTCAATAATCCATACTTTGTATTACTCTTTATTCTGATTTTGTGCCTGAAGCCACTGGTGAATTGACTTTGCATCCAAAWTTTTTTTTTTTTTTTGTATTTTTTTGGGGGCAAGGAGCTGTTGGGTAAACTTAATGAAAAAAAGAGTCCATACATAATGTGGAAGAATGGCCAGACCACATGGGAAGAATATAGGAATATTGTCAGAGAATGCAGGGATGCAACGAGGAAGGCCAAGGCTCGTCTGGAATTAAAGTTAGTAAAGGATGTCAGGGACAACAGGAAGGGCAGGAGGAAGACTAGGGAAAACATTGGTCCACTGCTGAATGGAGAGGGAGCCTTGGTGATGGAGGATACAAAGAAGGCAGAGTTACTAAATGCCACCTCTGCTTCTGTCTTTACTGCTAAGGCTGGTCCCCATGGACTACACAGCCTGGACACAAGAGAGAGGACTGGGAGAAAGGAAGACTTTCTGCTGGTTGAGGAGGATTGGGCTAGGGATTATTTAGACAAACTGGCCACCCATAAATCTATGGGCCTGGAGGAGATGCACCCAAGAGTGCTGAGGGAACTGGTGGAGGTTGTTGCTCAGCTGCTCTCCATCATCTTTGAGAGGTCCTGGAGAGCAGGGGAGGTGCCGGAGGACTGGAAGAAACCAGCATCACTGCAGCCTTCAAAAAGGGCAAGATGGGGGAGCCGGGCAACTACGGGCCAGTCAGCCTCACCTCCGTCCCTGGAAAGGTGATGGAGCAGCTCATCCTACAGAGTATCTCTAGGCATGTGAAGGAAAAGGAGATCAGGAGCAGTCAGCATGGATTCACCAAGGGGAAGTCATGTTTGACAAACCCAATAGCCTTTTCTCATGGGATGACTGGCTGGGTGGATGAGGGGAAAGCCATGGATGCTGTCTACCTTGACTTCACGTAGACTTGTCTACTTCAAGGTAGACTTGACTTGCCTACCTTGCTAAGACAAAGCAGAAGTTACTGTGGATACACAGAATTTTGTCAAATTACATCATATGCAGTGTATGCCAAATCGAATGCATTGACTTTTCCTGACTGTTAAAGACTTCTAGACTTTCTACTCAGCTCCCAATGTCTTTTGCCTAACATTTGTTAATGTACTATTTGTTATGGCAATGGCTTATCTGAGTTGTAAATGCACAGATCTCCTTCCCTGCCATCTAAGAACATGRAGTTATTTAAGGAAGAGCTTTGCTCTGTCAGGGCAGCTCATAACACGTTTTGTTTCTGTCTCGCAGAAATTGTCTTAATACCACCGAAGCTCAGAGTAATTTGAGTGGGGGTGAGAACCGTGTGCAAGTCCTGAAGACAGTTCCTGTTAACCTTTCCTTAAACCAAGATCCTCTGGAGTCATCCAAAAGGGAATACAACACAAACGTATCTGGGAGCTCAACGCCCATTACCGGGACTGGTGTGACTGTGGTCAAAGCGGAGGAGTTCACCCCTGTTTTTATGTCCCCACAAGCACACTATGCAAGGGGAGAAAATGAGGAGCACCGAGGGGTTATCTTTGAACCGTACGAAGTGTCCAGCATGGCACCYCACACAAATTATCTCAAAGACGACCAGCGTAGTACACCTGACAGTACCTACAGTGACACCTTCAAAGACGGAGGAACGGAGGTGAGTTTTGCACCCACATTCAGCCTTTAAAACCCTGCAGAAAGCTGCAAACAGGACAGGTAGATTTGAGGTGTCCACCAGAACTGCAAGGAGATTCGTTATGCCAGTTCAGTAAATTCATCTCCACTCCTTGCCACATTCTTCTCTTTCCTGGTGCTCTCTGATTGAAGAGGAGCATCACGAGGTGTTTCAGAAGGCAGATTCCAAGTTGTGGTTTCTGGAAACTGGGAGAGTGAGAGGTTCTGAATAAGAAACATCTTCAGGGATGTTGTACCAAGTGGAGAATAGTTGTCATTCTGAAAGAAGATCAGTTATTAAGGTCTGTCCTCAGAAAAATTAACAGCCCGTTTGTATATGGGAAATTCTGAATGTTTTCCTGAAATTGCACATTAGCAGGTGGGCCTCTGCTGCTAGATAAACTTAAATAATGTATCAGAAACTGTCTATTGTGCTAAACTGTTCCTTGGTGGGGGCAAGTGAGCAAAACTCGTAGAATTAGGTGACTAGATGGGAACGGAAAGGTTATCAGGCAGGGAAAGAGTCAGATGCATCTGGATGCTGGGGAACGAGGAGGAGAGGAGAGAGAAGGAGCTGCCTTGGAGCTATTTTGCGCTGTTATGCTGAGGCAAGTAATTATAAAGTCAGCCTTAAAATGCTGCAAGGACCCTCTGGCTGCTTTTGCTTGCTGCAGAATAATGCAAACAAGCCAGAATTATAAAAAGGTAAAATCATTTCACGCTGATAGTGCAAATGATTAGAGATATTATATGGTAAATATAATTTGTATTTTCTCCTCCTCCATGAAATTATTAATTATACAGAAGTACAATATGTAAAAAAAAAGCCATTTAAAGCTTTTACGCTGATACTCTGATTGAATACAGGAGGAACTTAGTGCCTGTGTGTATGTTTTATAAATATCTAAATTGTCTCTAAACAAGCATTCTATATAGATCAGGACATCTGGAGGTGAAATCCGTGTTAAGATACAGAAACACACATTTAGGTCAACTGAATGAATGATTAATGAAGAAATCTAGCTTGCTATTGAAAAATCRGTAAAACCAATCCTGGAAACACGACTCTGCATGATCAAATCACATTATTTCATTGCTACCGATAAAGGACCCTTTGTGGGAGTGCAGGGATAATGTCCACCTGGCATTCCCAGGGGTGCTGTGCAGGGGGATTCCAGTGTTTTGGTCTTTTATGGGACAGGGGGCTGAGAGGTACCCAAACCAGCAGCCTGTTCCCTGCGAACTGCTGTCACAGAGGTGTTTCACTTGGGGTAAAAGGGAAATTACTTTTGTAAACTGCCTTGCAACCCAAAATCCCTGCTATGATATTGTGTCTCTGCATATATATATATATATTTATATATATATATATAAAATTCTTTTTTTTTTTTTAATATATTTCAAAACAAAGTCTGACACTTGCCATCTAGGCTGTCTGTGCAGTCCATGCAGAGTCCCTGAGGCAGCACCAATCTGGCTGCCCCACGTGGAGGGAATGAATTGCCCYGTAGTGCTCTTTCCTTCTCCCTCCTTGCTCGCTGCAGGGGGACAGGAAACAACTGCCTTTAATCCCACCTTGAGCTGCTCAAAAATTACATGCACTGAGTGCTGCTGTGGGYGGCCTTCCAGCCCCAAGTCGTCACATGCCTGCGATGCAGGGACGAGGGAAGGGCCGTGGGCACCCMCTGATGGAAGCTCTGCTGGGAAGTGTCCCCATCACTTGCAGTTTTGCCCATGTCCCTGTTGGGGACGAGCCTGTCCCAGCCCCTCGCTGCTCGAGGCACTGGCTGCTGCAGGGCAGTCTGAGCTGAATGTCAAAACGTGCCAAAAGAGGAGAGGTTTGTGCTAAAGTTGTGTTTGGAGTAAGAAAATAGTARGTCTTAGTAGTTTTCCTGAATTTGCTCTGATACTTGCTCAATTTTAAACACATTATGACTGTGTATTTATAAATTGATCCAAAAGACTTATTGAATGCCTTAATTTTGTTATACCAAAGGAGTGCTRACCTTTTGTAGTTCCATGTGGCAATGGGTGCTTCTATGTTCTTCTGATACTGTCTGAACCATCTATTTAAATAAACTTCTCATTTTTCATATTCTTTTTATAGCTATGATTATTAGTTCTTCAAAATGTAAGTCATTTTTTTTAAGGATAGGTAAATCACTTGCATGTTTTTGCAAATGTTACTTACAGACTTCATGTAAAACGTGGCTTAAATGTTAATATGAAACCATCTTTACTGTAATACASCCCAGATGTCAGATTTCTTACAGTATTTGGCTTATCTCTTTTAATGCACATGGATCCTTGACTTTTGATCTTCAGGTACACCCTACCCTAGCACTTCACTAGTACCTGAATGGATTGTGGCACAGTTGTGCATGAGGTAAAATCAAAARCTGTTTTACAAATTGCCTAACTCGACGCTTGTGGAAACAAAAGAGCTCGTTATTGCTGAGTAGTTATCACAGAAGGAATCCTGGAGATTAAGTGTAATGATCTGGGGATGAATCAGAGAGGCTTCAGCAGAAACGAGTTGCAAGCAGCWGGCCAGCCAAGAGAAGACTTAACGGAGCAGGGCGCAGACAGACTTGTTTCCTTGGGAAGACAGAACCAAAATCCTTGCCTAGGCTKTGCAAAACCACCTTGTTTGCAGAATTGCACCTCTTGGTGTAGATCTGTTTTGGTAGGTGTGCTTAAATTTTGTGAAGTGCCTCTAGATTTGCCTTCAGTTTGTAGAGTGTGTATTTCACTTGAGCAGAATCTTCTCATGAAGATGAAATACTTTCTTAGCCTGCATCCCCCTACCTGTTCCAAAGAAGAAGCAGGGTAACAACCTGGATTCTTCCCAACATTTCTGTTGGGAATTCTTCAGGACAGCCAGGCATATAAAGATGTTTAAACAAAAGCAAAACAAAAGAAAATGGTACGAAGTCTCTAGAAGAACTAGAATTTCRTCTGAAAAAAATTGCTTGTCTTTGAAATGGGTTATGTCTTTGTAGGCTTCTTTTAAAATATACAATTGTATGGACAAGGAGTTCAGGAAGGCAGAAGAGTTTCTTCTGTTAACATTCCTGTGATCACCAGCTAGGTTGTGAAAAAAWGGAAAATCTTAACATAAATTCTCTCTATGAAATCCAGTTCGAAGATCATGTAGAGTCCACCTCAGTTAAGAATAATTTTGAGTTTTAAGTGGCTGATGGTTTCTTTTGAGGGGTCTCTAAATAATTATAATTTTATTTGTATTGGTCATTTTCATTTACAGTATGCATTTAAACCGTACATTACGTATTATACCATCATATTAAATTATATTTAATTGATGTTTTTGTTTTTCAGAAGTATCGCAGTGTGTCAGTGGGGGCTGAAGAATATATTTATGAACAAACCAGGTATGGCAAAGTCAGCTTTGAAATACCGTGACTGACATCACATAAAAATATATCCAGGGGAGCCTCCCTGTGTCGTTTCCCACCCTGCCTTTCATTGCCTGGGGCCCTGCAGTGCTCCCAGCACCTGGGCATGGCAGCGTTTGAATTTAACTGGATTTGATATTTTAGTACCTTTATATGCCAACTGTCTTCCCCTCAGCGGGATTTAAAGTTGTAATTCATCTGGAGCTCCTGGTGTAATGCAGGAATTAAACTGCTAAGAGAGGTCCCCTGAATACAAGGCACTGCTTGGGAGCAAGGTCATGGAAGATCTTTCAACCTTTCAGGTTGGCAGGATGCACAGGAGGGTGAACTTTTTCCACCAGCTTTATGGAATTCCTTATTTCTTCCGAGTATTCCATACTTCTTCCATATGCTAGTAGCTTTTTCTGGGAAACTCTCTCTTTTCATCTTGTTTGTTCTGATACTTTATATATGAATAACATAAATRAAGTATCTATTGCAAACATTGCTAAGTAAAATACAGGGATAGAATGGGCATATTTGAACATAGTCACTTAACAGAGATTGTGATCAATGAAATTCTTTAAACCGCTGCTTAATTTTATGCCCAGAAATAGTTCTGTTTATATCTGAGAGATTGCTCTCATTTTAGAAACAGGAAAAAAGCTTACAGGATTTTTTCCTCAAGTAGACATATGACTGTTCCTGGAGTGGAGGTTTCCTCTAGCCTAATCTTTTCTCTGATTAATATTGAAGCAATCATTAACTTCAGTGGGCTCCGAACGGCCATTGCACAGAGAGCACAGGCGAAGCTGATCTTGAGCAAAGAGTTCTCACCTGCTGTGCTGGAGGTGCATCAATCCTGAAGCACTGTCATCAGTAACAGTTCTCAGAAGTTGAAACCTTTCATGCTGTTATTACACAAGCCAGTTTTAGACTATAACCTCCACACACACACTCGGAAAAGCAAAATACTTCTTTTTAGGGAGTTACCTGGAAGGAGGTGCTCAGAAATCTAATCTTACGATTAAAAAAGCAAGCAGGGAATGTGAAAGTAATTGAAGGCCTGATGTAAGTTGCCTTGATAACTGTGGAGGGCTTCAGCTAAGACCCATGGCAAGATTCAGGACGTGGTGGGAGTTGTTTGAGTGATGACTGCAGTRAGTTTATGAGGTTAATGGTAGTCCTCCCACTTAAGGGCATAATCTGATTGCCAGCTGGGATCAAGAAGAAATTTTCCTTGTGGTACAACACAAAGATTGCATAATTGGCCAGGTGTGGTGTGCCTGGGATTTAYATTTTTAGAAGCTTTGTGAAACAGAATATCAAGACACAGAAGACCAAGTTGCTGCAGACGTAGGCAGCTCTCTTTGGACACCTTGTGTCTGACTTAGCTTCATCCTGYATTGCCTTCACGCCAAGCTGAATCAGAGCATGTGTCCCAACCACCAACAGGGATCCAGGCCGTAGGAGAAGCCGAGCTGCTCCTTGCCCCAGTACACGCGGGGTGGACGGGGTGTGCTCAGCACCAGCTCTTGCGTTGACTATTATGACACCCTGGAGTATTTGTTTGAACTAGAAAGTTAAGGATACACTTAGACAAACTTATCCATCCTCTTGGTGCTCATCTAGCCCTGTTTAAATATATTGCTGATTTAGGACCTTTGTGAAGGTCCTAATGCTTCCCCCCATGCCCGATTTTTGTGGACAACCTGCAAGTGACTCCTTGCACTGAACTTCTTGTGGTGACCAAATGTGTTCTGAAGAGAACGTTCATGCTGCAAGACAAACATTATCCTTCATTTCAGAGAATGTGAGAAGCTTTAGGCAATTTTTTTCTCTAATTTTTGTCCTTTTTATTTTTTTTTCTTTCCCTAACAAGGAAGATTGATTAGTTGTAGAATCCAATCATATRAGGGAATTTTATGCTGTGTGAATAATTTTGAAAAGAATACTCAATAAAAAATGATTGCACATTGTCTTTACATCAACCTACTGTCCCTTCTCTGCCCTGTGCTGAAAGTAGCAGTTGGACTTTCCATGCTCCATATGCGTCTTTTTTGTTCTGTTCTTTTTGAATTTGTCTTTCTGTGTCACTTGTGAGTTTAAATATCTCCATTGATATTTAAACCTCCATTGGTAGCTGATTTCCTTGTAATACTGCCAAATATGCTGTGTTCCATCTTGGCATTTGTTCCTTTTGCTGTGTTTATATAGCCTTGTGCTTTATGGTGGTTACTGTCAGAGAAAGAAAAAATGTAACCTTTATAGCCTTTGATTGAAGAGCCTTCCAGTCCAGCTAGGCATATGTTTGCAAAAAAAGGGGTTGTACACTTTAATACTTGAACTGGGATATTTTCTTGGAATTATTAACTTTGTGTTGGTTCATTCCATGCTTGAATAATGTATGAAATATGTAATAAACAGGGACAAAGAGAAAAAGAGAAAGTGAGACTGATTCTGCTGGTGTTTCTCTCCCTGTCTTCTCAACAGCACTTTTCAGTATACACTAGAAGCTACCAAATCTCTGCGTCAAAAGCAAGGGGAAGGGCCAATGACCTACTTAAACAAAGGCCAGTTCTACGCCATTACCCTGAGCGAGACGGGCGACAACAAATGTTTCCGGCATCCCATCAGCAAAGTCAGGGTATAGTCCAACTTCTTTCCTAGACGGGAGTGGAGCTCTTCAGATAAATGTRGTTTGGGTTGGTTGTTTTATTTTTATTTTTTTTCTCATGTGAGAGGACAGAACAACYTCACTCTTACGCCCAGCCCAAGGGGGAAGAGTGTTATCTCTGTGATTTCAGATGTGTTCTGGTCCGTTTTTTCTGTGTCTGATCTTATGAGCTGGCCASTTATATATGCATTTGCCTTAGTTTAAGATTTGGCAAGAGGTAAATACACATTATGCTTGACACTGGTGAAGTTCCCATTGCCCTGGTTAAAAATATCAGAGAACTGCTAAATCACTTAAGTCTGTTTAACTCTGTCATTCATTTAAGCAGGTGCTGTCTGGTACCATTCAGATGAAACCTAGTTTAGTTGTTCTGGTGATGCAGTTGTTAGGAGAGGAGCTGAAACCATTCTTTGAAAATCTGTGACATAAAATTTGAAATATTTCTATTATAAAAGTACACACTTTTGCTTGAAATTCACTTAAAGCATTTTGTGAAAACTGGAATTGAGTGCCCAGCAACATCCAACTGGCGAATAGGCCATGTTTCCCTGGTAATATTTTTGAGTAAGCAAATCCTAACCCAGTAACCTTGGAGAGAACGAGCCTCCGAGTTGCTGCCCTGCAACTTTTCACCTTGAGGCTGAAAGGACTGCATTTGCATGAGGCTGCAGAAGTGTTTCCACACAAATAAATGGAGAACCTTAAAAATGTTGTGCCTTTGGTCACAGGACCCAATGAAAGTGACCATGAGCTGGGAGGCAGAGGACAGCTTATACATTTCAAATGGCTGTGAAATTTGGAGAGTTTCTAGAAGACAAACTATGATTTAGAAACATGAATAGCAGTTCATTTGCAGCCTGGTTTCCTTGGGACATGAGACTGACTACCGAGTTTAGCCAAAGCTGATATAAGACTGCTGAAAAATCTCTACACCTCGACTAGCCACCCATGCCTTCCTCCTCTGCAGTGCCAGATCTTTCAGCTAGACCCAGAGATATTAAAACCCTRTATGTTCCATTTAAATGGCTCATAGCAGAAAAGGACCCAGATCAATGCTGTCCTTAAGGAAAACTCTATAGCCTGAATTATCACCTGTGATTAGCTTGCCAAGCTGGCCAGCTAGCGCATACCTGCTGGCCARCCAGTGTGCACGTGCAGAACTGGAGACCTCTCCTTTGCATATACCTCTTCTTACCCCAAGAGTAGTTAGAGGATGTAGAAGATCCAGKGATGCAATTTAGCTTATGGAGGGAGAGAGGAGCAGGTCACAGAGCACATGCAGGGTTACTGTGGTGAAGGGGGGTCATGAATCAATCGTTAGTTCCTCTGCTTATGAAACTGCTCTGGAGTAGTTTTTATGAGCGTGGTGACTCAGGTTGAAGGGAAGAATGAGAACAAAAGAAGATGAAAAAGTGCATTTTGTTCTCCATGATTTCTTTTTATTCCCATTTACCTAGCATGAGCTTCTTTTATTGTTTTGTGGTTTTTTGTTTCACTAACTTAGAGAATGGCTCTTTCAAAAACAGCTTTTATTACTCATGTGAAGTTGTACAATAAAGTTTCAATCAGTTTCCTTTGAATCATACAATTTCAGCAATGGGAATCTAGCACTTAAACTGAAGAGCTCAGGGAAACCTCAGTAAATATTCACACTGACTTTGTCATTAAATACATATATGCAAGTGTCCTGCTCATAAGAAGGGAGTTTGGACTAAGAATACTGAATTGCCTATTCATGAAAGAAGATAAAGTATTGACCTTGCTACCACTCCTGTTTTAATTTAATTTTAATTACATTATTGAATAAAATTGATTTTTTTTATGGCTAGATCAGCCTTAGTAAATTTTTGACGGATATTTTTGCACATATGTTACCCATACAATTGACTTCTCTATTTTTCACGCTCAGTGGCAAGGCAGTACCTCCCAAGTTGTGATATCTCCACAGCACTGTCACCAGTAACCCATCCACTACTAAGCTAGTCTCAGGAAATGTGGCAAGCCTGAACACATCCTCTTACAGCTTAATGTGATCTTCAGAGGCACAAGGAATGTCTGGTCAGAGCGGGAAATGGCGATCCCTGACTTTGAAATTACAACTTTTCACCTAAACTAGACTTCTCAAGTCTAAGAACATGATTATATTTTATTTAGACTACCAACAACACAATCCTACGTGTGATATTATTTTTAAACTATTTTTTTCTATCTTGAAATTTTAAGTGGGCTGCAGTATTAGACTGGAATAAAGATCAGTGATTTACAWTATAAGCACAGTGGGAGAGGGGTGATTGAATCAGCATTACAGAGATATGAGAGCATTAGAGCATATGGGGGATTTTTATTTCTGTGTTTTTGGGTCTTGAATACATATTAATTAATGCAACTTCTGCTGATTTTCATAGAGCGTGGTCATGGTGGTTTTCAGTGAAGATAAAAACCGAGAGGAACAGCTGAAATACTGGAAGTACTGGCATTCTCGGCAGCACACGGCTAAGCAGAGGGTCCTTGACATTGGTGAGTAAGGGAAGATCTCGGGAGGTTGCAGAGGGGTTTACCGAAGCTGGAGATCTCCGGTTCCTTGCCCAGAGATGCGGGGGAGTTCAGCTGGAGATCTCCGGTTCCTTGCCCAGAGATGCGGAGGGGTTCAGCTGGTGATCTCCGGTTCCTTGCCCAGAGATGCGGAGGGGTTCAGCTGGAGATCTCCGGTCCCTTGCCCAGAGATGCCGGGGGGTTCAGTGATGGTGGCTGCGAGGCTTGTGCCGCAGTTGGGGGCAGTGCCTGGGCGCTGCAGGCGGCGGGGCCGGCGCTGCTGCCTCGGGAGAGGGGCTGGAAAGGCCGCGYGGGCTGACAGATCCAGCGCCGCTGYGGCATCCGTGTYGGCAGCGCCTCAGGAGCAGCCGCCGCGCTTGTTTCGCTCCGTTGCTCGAGCTGTTCTCTGAGGTGGTGACAGCAGCTCCGCCGTTAGGGTGGCGGCGCTGCTGGCCAAGGGGGCCGTTGCTGCAGAGGCCTCGGTGTCACTGCAGAGGCCTYGGTGTCACTGCAACCCCCACGCGGTCACTGCACGGCCATCCAAATAGTGATAGCAAACAGTTTGATTGATACCAAACTGGGAGGAGTAGCTGATAGCCCTGAGGGCTGTGCTGCCATCCAGAGGGACCTGAACAGACYGGACAACTGGGTGGTTAGAAATCTCATGAAGTTCARCAAGGGCAAGTGCAAGGATCTGAACTTGGGGAGGAATAACCCCGGACACCAGTACAGATTAGGGGTGGACGAGCTGGGGAGCAGCCCCACAGAGAGGGACCTGGGCGACAAGTTGTCCGTGAGGCAGCAGTATGCCCTGGTAGCCAGGAAGGCCAACGGGAYCCTGGGGTGCATTAAGAAGAACGTCTCCAGCAGGTCGAGAGAGGTGATCATCCTCCTATACACAGCCCTGGGGAGGCCACATCTGGAGACTGTGTCCAGCTCTGGGCTCCCCAGTGCAAGAGGGATGTGGAGCTGCTGGAGAGAGTCCAGCACAGGGCTACAAGGATGATCAGGAGCCTGGAACATCTGCCCTGTGAGCAAAGGCTGAGAGAGCTGGGCCTGTTCAGCCTGGAGAAGAGAAGGCTGAGGGGGGACCCGATCAGTGTCTGTAAATACCTCAAGGGAGGCAGTGAGGAGGAGGGGCCGGCCTCTTTTCAGTGGTGGCCAGTGATAGGACTAGAGGAAGCGGCCACAAACTGAGGCACCAAAAGTTCCACAGGAACTTAAGGGAACATTTCTCGACAGTGAGGGTGACAGAGCCCTGGGACAGGCTGCCCAGGGAGGTTGTGGAGTCTTCGTCTTTGGAGATCTTTAAAACCCTCTTGGACGCAGCCCTGTGCCCTGTACTCTAGGTGACTGTGCGTGAGCAGGGGGGTTGGACTAGATGACCTCTGAGGTCCCTTCCGACCTTAACCATTCTGTGATTCTATGATCCCTGCAGGGCTGCACGCAAGCACAGGAGCTGCTCACAGCCCRGTTCCTGTGGCCTCGCACATGAGGGAGCAGCTCTGAGCTCTGATGTGCTGCTCTGCGAGCCCTGTTTACCGTTCATCCCATCCAAAGTATTTACAAGCCCCTCTCAGCCACAACTGCCCCTGTCCGCGTGCTTGGGAAGCTTTCAGCAGGGGAAGAACATTCACCTACTGCCAAGGAGCCCAAAGTGGAGATCTGTGGGAGTGTCTCGACTTGAAGCGCTTCTCCCCTCCCACACGCAGTTTACACACGCGGCCGCGCAGCCATCTGCAGCGGATTCCAGTCAAAGGAGTCGGCTAGACCAAAGCAGGCCAAGGCTGTGGAGTTTTCACTGCCCGCAGGCACCAAACCATGGCCTGGCAGGAATGAGAGGGGGCAGAGCGGGGAAGGGGGGAGCAGAGCGACTCGGCGAGAGCGCTGGGGAAAGCACTGCGGGACTTGAGGGGCCGTCAAACATCTCCAGCCCTGGGAAGCAGTCCCCAAGTGCTCCTGCTCACCTGGTGCCTCTTGACTTTGAAACGCTGCAGCCTCCACAGGGGCTGGCATTCAAAGTCAAGTGTATTTGGTCAAAGGTACAGGGCAGCTTTTCCTGAAGCTCCTCTTAGCCGAATATCTTGGCCGAAATGTTTCCCCCACTCTTTTTTTTTTTTTTTTTCCCCTCTTTTGGAGTACTTGAGGCAGTAAAACTTCCCCCCCAGACCAAATGGCTCCCATCATGACACATTCAAAGAGCAAGTATGTCACGTCCCAGCTATTCATGAAGCCTGCCTGGTTCTGTGCTAGTCTGTACAAGCTTGCAATACCTCCGCAGGTATGTGCTGAGCAGCGGGATCCAGTGCAGTGGCAACACCCTCCGAGTGCCGCGGCAGGGGTTCGCTCCCTGTGTCCCTGACGTGATTCAGAGCCCTTAGCTAAGCAGGCCAGCCGGGGGCAGATACGCTGAAAAATACAGCTCTGTGAAACAAAATGCTGTGTGTGAGCTCTGTGTTTACCTCTGTTAAAATGGATGTCTTTTATGTTTCCACTCATTTGAGAAGGACTGAGTGAGGTGAATCTCAGATTTTTGTGGCATGTTGGTGCATACTCTRTTTAGAGTACAGGCGTGAGCAAAGCCTGGTGTAATGGGGACCRAAGGATACAGCATCCCCTGTCAGATGTAAAAGCTGTAAGAGCACAGTTCCTCTTTCAGAAGACCTRAGTGTTACTATGTAGTATTTTCTTGTGAGCTGTTGAAATGTGACCTTAGCTCTCGGCAAATGCAGTGGTTTGAAGCACTTTTCCTTTTATAAGGGACTTCACAATTGTGGATGTTTATCTTCTATGCTRTCCATTTTGCTTTCCCTTTTAGGACAGAACAGTTCCTAACTAGAATTTACCATAGAAGCATCATGCTCCATGAAGCAAAACTTTACATTTTTTTTTTTTTCTCATGGGATGATCTATCTGATCAACTTCATCCAATTCGGAATTTGGTTCTTCTTTGAGTGGGGCTCAGACAGGACTTGAGCCAGATGGCATCCAGTGGTCCTTTCCAACCTGCATTATTCTCTGTGTCTACAAAGATTTCCCTTTATGTTTAAAATTCCACCCCATATCCATAAAGGGATTGTGTAGAGGGATGCTAATTTATCACCCAGCCCTATATAAGTGATCAGAGAGAGTTAAACCTGTGTGAGTGGGATTAGCAAGTGCTGGGATGCTCCCTGGAGAGCCACTRAAAGTTGTAAGCCTCAGTGTGAGGGGCTTGCCCAGGGCAGGTGGCTTTGCCAGGTTCTGCCCATCTCCAGGCAGTCTCTGTCTTCTGGTAGCCCCTCTTCTGCTTGATTCTGGCTTCTGCTCCCAGGAACGAGCCACGTTTCTGCAGGCAAATGTCTGTTAGGCTTGTGACTTACTGGTCTGTGGCCATTTCTGGACCTGCGACCCCTTGCTTGGAACCACTGGCTGCTTAATCAATGCTGCCAGCATGCGTAAATACGTGAACTACCCCTCTCCTCCCCAAAGTCATACTTGGCTTTTTCAAAAGAGCAAAAAAYAGGAGATTCTCTTTATGCCTATGACTTGGAAATGCCATCGTGTCAGCTCTACAGCCAAAGGAAATTCCTGCCCTCGCCTCCCCAGAATTGTCCCACTTCTGAGCAGGAGTCGTGCCTGGAGCAGTGGCAGTGGTGGGAGTCCTTGTGCCTTCCCGCCCTATTCCCTGTGATCGTTGACCCACAAAATAAGAGATAGGGCTTATGAAAGTGAATGAAACACCAKGGTAGTGACTGGGGCACTAATCAGGGTCTGAGTCCCAGCTTTGAGGAGCATTTGTGATCATTGAAGATTAAAGATACAGCAAAATAACCTTTGTTCCCTGACGTTAATAGGTATTATTTTCTATCATTTCCAGTAGACAGTGTTGGGGGCTGAGTGTAGAGTTCTGTACTTATAAAGTGTTGTTATTAGTGTGGTAGGACTTAGTGTGTTGGTTTGTATTTTGTATTCTCCTCCTGCTACAGCGGCTGTTTCTCTCTTCATGTCTTCTCATCCGGATTTGACCTGTCATTTTCCTTACCTTGCTGAAGAGACCCCTTGGATCAGGGATTTTGAGTCTTTGTYGCACTGAAGGCCCACTAATGCACTAAAAAGTGCATCATGAAGCACTATAAAGGGTTAATCTTTTATTTGATTCCTTTAAAATAACTATATGTGAATTGCCATAAATATATTTAACATGTTCCATAGACATGCTTATAATCCTTAGTATTATGTGAATTTAAATGTTTGTAACATGTTAAATGTGTGAATTCTCTTTAAGTGGGTATAAATGAACTTTTAATCTAGACTGTTACTTGCAGCATAACCAAAGGTGACCAAGGCACTTTTTTATGCACTGGTGGTAGCTTCCAGAGTGATACCTGCTATGCTGCCTGCTTCTCCCTCCTGATAAGCAGTTATATTAATCATTTTAAAACTTCTATTTTATGTGATTTTGATTTTTAGTTAGTACTGCCCGTCAGCTGCAAACTGGAACTAAGCATGTGAATCTGCTGAGTGTAGAGAAGTTACAGAACTGGGTTTTTAGTATAAGCAGGTCCTTAAATGTAAGCAGGTGCCAGTGCTTGAGGGAGTAGACTTGAGGATTTGGCACTTAATAAGCAAGAAGCAAATGTGTTTTGCAGAATTTAAGCTTTGTACAACTGTGGATTTTTGTGGAAAGGAGGCACTTCTACACTCTCTAGCAACAGGAATGAGAAATATTTCTGACTTTTCCACAGTACTGTGCATGGAATTGAGTTTCCTCTTTTGAAGTAATGCAACATAAAGAATTCAATAGTAGACTACAGCAAATATGTACTTGTTTGCTCAGAATCAGTGCTCTCATTTGACAAACACTGCAAGAACTTCTAGCAGAGATKTATAAGGGTGGGCATAAAAACCTTTATACTGGGATTATCTGTGCTTCAGAGTTTTACCTGTATTTTATCCAGTATGTTTATGCTCAATACAAAAGCTATTACAGTGGCTTTTAATAAATGCAAATGATTAGTGCTTAATGTTGAAATCTGTCCCTGTGTAATATGCAGTTTACCCAGTAGGAAAGACTTCCTGCAAGGCTGTTCTCTGCAGTATTGAAGATCCCCAGTTYTCTATTTCTGGTGACTCACAGCAGCAGGCGAGGAGAAATTATAGACACACAAATACTTTGCAAATATCCTTGGATGTAAATACTTTCTTAATCTACTGAGAATCTTTTAAAAATCCTTGTAAATTAAGAGGAGTGGATCGCAATTCTGCTTGTAAACAGCGCGTCACGTACGCAGCTCGTGAGCTTTGTGTGTGGCAGTTAAGGAAGCTGGGGAAAGGGAAGCCTTGGCGGGATGCTGGGTTCTGACAACCTTTTTGGAGAAGAAAACATGTGTCTTTGCAAGGCATCTTGTTCATGTCTTTCCAAAGAGCACCTACACAGCACACCCATAGGCAGCAGGCAGTTGCACGAGGCCCTTTTTGGGTGAATCATAAATTTAAGAGGTGGGTGATGTGTGCACATGCATATTAAATTGCTTCTGTGTCTTCTAATTCCTCTCATTTGCATTCCTACTCCGAATTTAGATAGGAAAGCCAATGASTTCAGGTAGAAAGGGGATCTGAGTTCACGAAGGGAATAAAAACCTGCCAGTTCTCTCAGACACCACGTTGAGTTGCTGCCTCACAGAGTGTCTTTGTTATGTTTGTCTTAAGCCTGTGGTCAGAACAGGTTTCTTGCAGTGTCCAAAGTCCTTTCACATATCCCAAGTGCACAGTTTCACTTGTCTGGTAAAATCTCAGCATCTCTGCCTGTCAGATGAGAGAAAAATGTCCTAATTGCCCGTGTCTCTTTTGTGTTAAAACATTACCCTTGCCACAAGAATTTTGTTACAAATACTTTTGAAAAAAAATGTTATTTTTAGAGACATTATTTTTAAAAAGGTAAACAGGGAGGCAAAGGAATGCCACATCCATTTGGGTCTGTCATGTATAGACTACAAAACCACCCACTTCCTACAACTGCATACAAAGCTGAGAATCAGTATGATTCTGAAGTACTGATTTGGGCAAAAGTTAAAAGTATCAAGATTGTTGCATTGCATAATCTGAACTCTCTGCTACTGAGACCAGTTACATCCCCTAAAGGCTTCTGAGAAATTGTATAGATACCTGAGAGCTCTCGTGTATTTTCTTGAAGGATCTGTAAGTTCCTTTAGTCAGTTAGGTGTCACCTCCATACCAACTTGATCCCTCGCCTAATCTGTCATCATAGGGAACAAAGTACAATAAGMTGGCTTGGAAGGGAGACAAAAGGAGGCTTGTCCGGCTTTGGTTTTTGWTTATAAAGAAGACCTGGAAGTTTTCTTCCTGATGTGCTTTCCTCCTCTTACTTTTTTTTTGTTGTCTTTGAGATTCAGGCTTCCTCCTTCTGGCTTCTTGCTCCTTTCTGGCATGCTGGTTATTCAATAATATGAAAGGCCCTTTTGAAAGCAGTGAGAAAAGGGGGCAGTTTATGTGTTCAGACAATTTAAATATCTCGGTGTTTTGTTTGCTGTTTTAGTGTCATTTACCCTTTGGAGAAACGTGTTCTGTGGGTATTTGACAGGGATCCAGCATCTGGTGCTGTAATTCTTAGAAAAGACAAAGAGGTTGGGCAAGAAGTACATACTACTGATCATTTCCTCCAGTGACAGGGGTAATAGCAGTATCTTATCGTATTAGAAATCTTTAGGCTTTACCATAATGTMATTTCCTTACGTCAAACACTAGACATTCCTTTAAAACGTTTCAGTAGCCTTAGTTAATTTTCCAGTTTTAGCTATTCCTTTTTATTGCCACGCTAATGAATGCGCCCACTCATTCCCTCCACAGCCACACTGATTCCTGTCTGAGAGTGAGGAATATTTTGCAAGAACATTAGCTAATGAAGTTATACTCCAGCCGCAGCATATTACCTCCTGGCAATAATAACAATAATAACAATACATAAGCAAAGTATTGGACAATCCATTTGAAAAAAGCAAAGGGCAAATCCACTTTTGTACTGTGAGTTATAAGAGAATCCCTCTTCATGATTTTTTTTCTGTTTGTTATTTATTACAGCTGATTACAAGGAGAGTTTTAACACCATTGGGAATATTGAAGAAATTGCATTCAATGCCGTGTCCTTTACTTGGGATGTCAATGAAGAAGCAAAGGTGAGGAGAAACTGTGCCTGTTTGTAAAATCCTCCCTCAGACACTGTTCCACTCCTCTCTGCTCTATAACCAACATAAGAACRATAAGTGGAGGTGAGAAATCCTGTTCTCCTCCAAGCCAGGCAAATGCTGGTCTGCCCCCTGCTCCAAGGATTGTGGTCATCCGTAAAAGACAAGGTGGTAGGTAACAACTGTCAGGATGAGGCTGCGTACACACACACACAGCCCTGTCAAATAAAAGGGGCTGCAGGCCTGGGGAAAACCTGCATGGTTCCCAGAGCAGTTTCGTGTTTGTGGCCTCTCAGTGATTTTCCATTTAAAATGTGCCCAGCCTGAGAATCAGTGAGAGGTTTTTATTGTGCTTGCAAGGTCAGTGTAGGACACAGGGTGAATGTTTCCTTTCAACAGATTATCATCTTTCTTTCTACACTATTAACATTACCAATAATCAATATTCTGTAAGCTAGACTATACTGTCCCTGATATTTATGCCACTGTTTTCCATATGGTAACAGACTGGCCTTGCAGTTGGAAATGAGCGTATTTTGGGAGATTTTTTATTTTTAATGGTCAAATACCCTCCAACTCAAGAGTTTTGCAAGTTAGAATCTGACAGCTACAATGAACCTGTAAACCAGGGCAGCAGACTGCCTTCTGAAGGGTCTTGTCAATAAGGACATCCAAAGGGTAGCAGAATGTTTTAGCTGCGTGGGCTGGTGGAACAGAAATGAAAAGCTGCAGGTAATCCTCAGCAAGCAAGTCGCAAGGGAGATGGGCTGTGTGATGGGTGGAGGTGATGAAGTTTCTCAGGGATCCAGAAATAACTAGTAGTACAGTACAGTACCAAAACCCCAGCACTCAGGTGATAGTGAGAGTCTCTCAAATGTGCAGGTTCATGCACAGGAGCCTCCTGTAGTTCTAACAGAGCAGTGGGAGACTCCCTTCTTGCGGGAGACTGCACTGAGCTCCCTATCCTGACATGTTTCCTAACTGAAGATGCTGCAGGCTTTAGTAATAGGGATTTTCATATTTGATGCATGTTTGATGCACTATGTAAAGAAAAGAGAATATTTCAAAAATTGCCTAGCCCTTTCCAAAACTGGACCTTGGTCAGTTGCTGGATCAGTTGCTATTAATGCTGTATTTGCACCATGTGCCTGTGGTCACTGCACAAGCAAATACCCAATTTGTTTGGGATGTCCAACGTGAGGGATCCTCCTCACAAGCCTGCTGGCTAGGCTGTGTGTGCTCTGACCCCAGCATGACCAGCTCTGGAGCACAGCAGGCCCATCTCTTCCCCCCAGCAGTGACTACCCAGCACCATTGCCAGGGCTAGCAGCTCTTGAACACACTTCATTGCAGCTGTGAGCCAGGCTGACCAACACAGCTATTGATGTAGGAGCAAGAAAGTCTCCTGTGCTAATATCAGGTGTTTCCCTCAGCTGTTTTGTTCCTTTCACTGTTCACACAGTTGCCCCCCTGGGGTCAAAACATTAACACAACTCTCTCTATAATCATTGGGAATGTAAATAGTATATGTGAAATATAAATAGGAAAAATGATGGCTATATTATYGTTCCTTGAGGACAAAGTTGTGAATGGTGACATTTAAGAGAGCCACTTGTATTTCTGCAGGAAGTAATTAAAATAATATTGTTTTATACTTAATTTACTATTGGGGATAATTATTAAATGACTGATCTTTTAGGAAATCAAACTGCAAACAGTATCAATAATGGTAAGAAGAACAGTAATTGTAATAGCATTAATTGTTACCGGGTGCTAAAAAATAAGTATGATGTGTGTTTTTAAGGTTATCACCGTCACTAAAGCGTTTTTCCTGCCCTGCTCACATGTACATGTACATACCTGCTTGCTCTGGTTGCAAAGCTGAATAAAATAACCAGTCAGGCTGAGGCTGGGAATTCCCATAGGATCCCCCTGCGGTGTCTGAAAGCTGGGTATTCAGAGTCACGTCACTGAATAGTTTTTTTTCCCCAGCAATTACCTCATCCAAGAGAGCTAAAGAATTTCAAGACCTAATTACAGACTCTCCTTTCTTAAGCTTTTTGAACGCCGATCCTTAAACTGGCTCCATTGTTTCTGCTCAGTGTTGTTTTCCCTTTTCTCCACAATTTCAAGATTAAAACTAACCCCGCGAGCACAAAGACCTTTCTCTTCTGAGCCAGACAAAAGCAGCACAGAGCAGTTCTTTCCAGGGCCTCTGCGATGCCACCTGGCAAAGCTCTCCACTGCCCTCGGAGCAAGAAAAAAGAATCCAGACCAGTCTTTGGRACTGCACAGGGCAGCAATCTTGAAAAGTGGAAAGGAAGACAAAGAGATCACCTAAGAGAATATCCCTGTCTGTCCTTGGAGAGCAAATCCTGCATCTAGTGAGACGAGTCTCAAGCATCAGACCTCTCACTTCGGTACTCCACGTGCAGAGCGGCTTGTTTAAAGCCAGATTACTCCTCTTCCCACACACCTTCCTGGAAACCTCTAGGATGGAGATGTAACAGCCCGTGTGACTGCCCAAAGCYGCCTCTTACCGAAGGGAACCTGCTGAGGATTTGTAGGACGGCCTCTCACTGGGATAATGAAGGACATGAAGGGAATGGGAACTCGCAGGAGACACGCAGGGACCTCCTGTTGTCAGGGGGGAGCCCAAGGAGAGCCAGGGGCTGGCGCTGGCTTGAAGACTCTCGTCTTTTCCGACTGCTCTGTGGYCCAACAGGGGCACGGAAGGGAAGAGGGACCCTCAGACGATGGGATAATCTCCCTGTTGCTGCTGTCGGACCAGAGAATCCAAAGTCCGAGTAACAGTCAGCCCTGTTAAGAATCTTCTCTGCTGCATGTGAAGCGACAGGAGTCTCCTCCAGGACTCCCCAGGAGAGCAGAGATGGGCCCTGCACTGCTCTGCCCTTCTCTGCAATGGCAGCCTTTTCTGCTGGGGCCTTTTGCTTGAGTTTCCTCTAGATTTACAGTTGCAATATAGGGGAGTGAAGGGAAATGGTCTAAACTCCCACTAAACTCTTCCTTTTGCATTCTTTAAGACAAAATGACTCTGCAGCCAGGAAGCATCAGTAGGAAGTGAAGAATGCTTTTCGTATGGCCCATTATCCTTTCACTCCCCCATTATATAAATATACATGATTTATAAGCAAGGCAACTTGCTGGTTTCCCTGTGGTTAAACCTGAATATAGTGTTGGGTATTCTTTAAGGAATTCTTTAGAGGAAGGTGAGAAAATCACACATAATGGGTACAGCCTGACTTTTCAGCCATCTTTTAAAAGTTTTTTTTTATGATATGTAAGAGGTGATATGCTAAAACCACCCTGCTGTTGATCTGTACAAGATTTTTGCTGCAGTGTCTGGCAGGTTGACAAAATTCTTGTGGAGGCTTTTGAACAGCTTCCTCTTTGGTAGACATAKCCATCTGCCTGTTTGCAGTCTTATTGCTGACAGAATTAGATCTGTGAGAAAGATAATTAAGAACCAGGACACTCTTGGTCAAACAAATGTCTCTTTTTCATACATTGTACCACCTCTTTTAGGTGGGTCTTCACTCTGAYTAATGTTTTGCTACTTTGAAATGGTTGGGATGATGTTACCTCTGGAAAAAAGTGATATTTTGAAAGTAGGTTCATACAGTGATGCAACCTCTGTGAACAGTCAGTGAAAGAGAATATCACTTTAAAGCACACAGAAAAATACTTCGCAGTGGTTTCAAAACATACTGACTTCTRCGAAGGCCTGCAGCTTGGACAGGCAATAAAGAGCCCTCCTGCAGGTATGTGGCTCTTGCAGGTGCTGGTGTACAGCAGTTGTGTGCTGTGCAGTAGTTGCACATACCTGTGTGCAGTCACTGTCCTTGTGTACTTAGCTGAAACACAGATCTTTAAGCCCGAGCTTGCTGAGGCCTCTGGGAACATTTCCAGTGATTTAATGAGTTTTGGCATAGCCCGTAGAGTAATAAGCTCTGTTTTCAGGGAGTGAGTGATTTGCTGGATTAGGTTCTTAGACATTGTGGGCCAAAGAGGGCCATGATTCCACTGGGCACAATTGTAAAATCAAGTTGGTGAAACCACACAGTCTCTAGCAGTGATTTGTATTGTCATAATCCTTCTTATTTTGTGTGTGTGTGGTTTTTTTTCTATTTCGTAGAGATATTTAGTACAAGTTTTGACTAGTGTAAGATTTATGATATTCTTAATTACCCATTTCCTTCCTAAGTTTCATCAACTTGCATTTCACTCAGAAGGAAATTGATATCTTCTACCCTCTGAAAATTTAATGATTGTAGGTAAAGAGACTTTATTTTGAGGAATTAGTACCAGAAATAGTATAGTGATAAACTTGTCAGCTTTAGTAAACCATATATGTGTGTATACATGTGCATGCATATCATGCACCATGAGCACATACGTGTGCATACATATTTATATTTATATTAAAGAAGAGTTAACTTGTGATAGCAAATAATGCTGAAATTTCAGTGTATACAAATGGCTCAGTAAGTTTGCATCTGGGACCCAAGGCAAATGGCATTTTTATGTAGTTGCTGGGGTGTGGTGTGGGTTGAGGAAGCTTCAAAAGAGCAGTGTAAACATTTGCTGGAGACATTTGTATTGAAATAAAACAAAGGTCTTACCTTTGCATGGGATTTATAAGGTAACGGCTGGCAGGAGAAACCATAAACCCACACTTTTTACGTATTCCAGGAACGATGGGATGGGTGTTATTCTTTAAAGAGACAAGTCATTTACCTCTTAGTTGCTACAATACGAAGGGCTGAACCTTTTTAAAACTCAAGGCTTTCAGGATTTTGTAAAGACCGATCCCCTAGACATGGATTCTATTTTTTGCCTGTATTGGAGAGAGAATGACTTAAAGTTTCTAATTTTGTGATACAACCCACTCTTCCCTCCCTTCTGCCGTTGGCTGCTTCTGAGACGAGGAGAGCCAGAAATGTAAATAGTAATAAAAGGCTTATATTTAGAGGTTTCGTAACCGTGGACCTTTAAAGTGCAGAGGCTGCGAGACCGCAGCCGGAGTCGCGCTGGCTGCGCTCAGCGATAAAAGGGGAAATGCATTTCTGAGCCTTGCCTGCTCTTAGGGCAGGCTGCTGTGTTTGTGTCTCGTACCTCGCTAATTACGCTGCAGTGTTTAACAAACAGGCAGTAATTCACTTAATAACAGCCACGCTGGGGAGGGGAGCCTCCCCCGAAAGAGAGCAAGGTTTTTCCAGACGTTCCCTATAGCAAACAAGAAGGGTTGTCGTTACGTTAGGCCACTTTAGAAGCCTTTTTTTCAGGCATCAAATGTTTCTCCAAATGAGTTTTTCATTGCCAATGGCATGCCTGAGCTGGAGACTGGATGGGTGGAACTCTATATTAATTGCTCTAATCTAAGATATGCTGACATTTAAAGAAAAAATCATTATAACGATAACCTGTGCTTGTTCCTGATAGCAAAACATTGCTAAAATCCAGTTTGCACAGGAAAAGGAAAGTCTGTAAGCGAATTTATGTACTGCCGTAGTCACGTCCGTGAAAATAAGTCAAGTGTAGACAGGGCCCTGGGAAAAGCAGCAGAGCTTTCTCCTTCTGCTACCGTTTTTACCTAAATCTGCATTTCTCTAGCCATATAATCACCACACAAGAAAGCTCTTAAACCTGAGTTTTTTTCTKAGAGGAGCAGAGTAGGATGTTGCCTTTCCATGGCTTTCCGTGGGTGCAGCTGCCAAGGAGGGGAAGACGCCGCCGCACAGGGCGACGGGGCCGGCGAGGTCCCCSCTGGTGCCTGGAGGATCCTCGTTCCTCAGCCACGGCCTCGGGCTCCGGCGCGGGCAGGGAGAGCAGCCCAAGGGCTCCCTTCCACCCCCGGAGCCTGGTGTGCCACTGTGCTRTAACTGGTGGAAGTCATCAGTTATGCAGAGAAACCCTTCCCTGAAATCAGCTCAGGTGGCACAACCCATGTCCTCTTCCCTCTCCCTCCGTGCTCAYACCCCGGTTTGTTTAAAATGGTTTGTTTATTTATTTTATTCAAAAAACAGGTGTTGGACTTTAAAGAAAAGCTATAAAAGTGCAGTTACAATATCTTGTCAAATAAATGATATGTTTTAGCTCAAGTAAATCTCTTGTCTATCCGCATAGCAGAAATGATATGACAGAAATTACACTTCTCACACACGAACGTACAGTCATTGCTCCTCAGAGGGATCCTGATGTATTGCAGTGTCAGCATTAGGATATTGAATCTTACAGCATCAATCTATTATTCATGCTGGGTAATCTGTTGGTGCTGTGTTGGGACTCTTAAAATGATGAAGTCCTGTCTTTCCCAGTCGCTCCTGCTGCGCTCCAGGTTTCTGGAGGCAGTGGAAGAGATGACACAGACTGTGTCCTGGATTAAGATGGACAGGGTCTTTCATTTTTACTTTCCAGCTGCGTGTGCAGCAAACACGATAGATGTCCACACTGTTGCGTGGACACAAGGTCTTCACATCTCTGCTCGTTTTTACGATACAGTTGAGAAGGTCCCTGTGCTGAAGTWTGGGCAAAAGTGCAGGTTGTGTTCTGCTTCAGACCTCATTCCATTGCTCTCTGTTCATACRTACATTAAAGCATTGACACCGTAGAGGAGACTTAAGGCAAATGAAAATTCAGCCCATCCTATTTCAAAGGCATATGCACCCGTATCTGCACTTACCTTTGGATCTGGAAGAGACCAAGTTGTAATTTGAAACAGAAATAACACTATCAGCTTCAAAATCAGAGTTTCACCTAGGGCCCTTCCCTGCCTCCCTCCCCTCCCCTCAGTTAAAGTTCAACTATTTCATTTGTAAATGCAGCTCTGTGATACAATCAGAAGCAGAAACGCAGCGGTGCCATTAGCTCAGTCAGGCAAACAAGCTGCTCTGGCTCCATCATAAAACAGCCCCYGACTGTAATGTTAACTTCTGCCATTAGGGTAAAGGATCCCCCTGCCACCTGTGTGGCAGCCCCCTTTATTYGGGGCTGTCCTTCCCCTGAGGGCTGTCAGGACTCTGCCCAGCACCCTGTGCTTTTYCCCACTGTTGGTGGTTTGCAAGGAGGGGCTTCCCTCTTTCTCTGTCTCCTTGAGTCCTCCCTGGGCCCGCTGGGATCTCCTCTGTCCTGCAAGGGGTTCCCCAGCAGCCCAGCTCCTGGTGGGGAGCGGGTTCACAAGAGGTCCCCGAAACTCCTCCTTTCTGGCCATGTTGTTTCTCTTACAGGTTGTTTCGCTTTGCTATGGTTCATGTATTGGTTGTGTTCTCTTTCCTTTTTCATAGATGACCATGTTCGGGATTTTGTGTGTGTTTTGTTTTTTAAAATCTGAGGGAAACTAAAAAGTAGAAGCAGGTTAATATGTACTTAGTGCTCATTATTACGTGAAGCCTGTGCTAACACGTGTTCTTCGTGGGAAGAGCAGTTGGATTTTTAACACACCATTTTGTCCCTCAGATTTCCTCTACAATGTCCTGATTGGGAAGGAGTGAATGATACTTCAGATCATATAACAGCTTCCTTTGCACTAAAATAATCCGTGGTTGACTTGCTGGTCTGTGTCCCACACTAGTTTGATAGCTAGAAGGTGTGAGGTAGCTCGTGGCTATCAATGGACCCAAGTGGGTGTAGGAGGAAACCACRAGACAAGTTTCTGAGCAGAAGACAGCCAGCGGTTCCAGCATGCCAGGAGCCACGGGCATTGCCAGGCCACAGGGAGGCCACAGGATGAAGGGGATTTTTGAGAAAGAGGTAGTAGCTTTGTAATTATGTGAAGAACCCTGTTCTGGTTTGAAGATGTGTTTTTGAAATTGAAGAAAGACTGTGGAAAATCTGTTAAAGTGGAACTCAGGAATGTCTTTTGAAGGGACTGAGCAAGGAGAACTGCTGATGAGAGAGAAGTTATCAAAGCAGTACGGGAAAAGAGGGCTTTGCACCACTGTTTGGAGTAGATGGGAGCACAGCAAGGAGAGATTTGTCAAAGCCAGTGATGGTGCCTGCTCTGAAAAGTGAACTGAAGAGACCCTTCTCCTGTTTCCTACCCATGAGCTATTTACGTGTCTTAAAAGAGACTGTACTAAAAAAAATGAGTAAGGTTTAAAAGTAACCTAGCTATGAGGAAGCAAAAACTTGTATTGTGGAGCTGAATACTTTTCTGTATGATCAAAGGAAAAAAAAAGAGTGTTTACAAAAAAAGAAGATAGGAGGGGAGAAGAACAAGACAGAGAAAAGGATGGCTAGAAAGGACAGTGCAAAGTCACTTGCTTYGACTATATTAACGATTAGTATGAGTACACAGAGCAAGTTTGTAGGGTGGAATAGCCAGAATCAAAGACTTGACATCCCCATGAGACACATTTTACCTCAGATTATCCCTAGTCAGTTCCCAGAGACTGAGCAACCCTTAGCAGCTGCAGCATGAGGTGGGAGTCCAGGACACGTCTTCTGCTCTGACTCTTCCTAAAGAAGCCAACCTGGGCTTTCTGAAGCAGCTCTGTGGTGGACATCAAAGTACAGTAAGTTGAGTCCAGCAAATGATTCACTTCAAACCCAAACTCCTGATCCAAACTAAAGCATTAACATTGATACACAGTAGAAGTCTGCCTTCCTGTCTTAACATGATACCATTTTTTTGTAACTGCCTTTTATGTTTCCCGTTAAGTACCATGTGTTTCCAGGAGCGTAATAGTTTATTTGCACCATGTATTTAAAGCAATCTCTCTGGTCCACAGATTTTCATCACGGTGAATTGCCTGAGCACAGATTTCTCCTCGCAGAAAGGAGTCAAGGGGCTTCCTTTGATGATTCAGATAGATACGTACAGCTACAACAACCGCAGCAATAAACCYATCCACCGAGCCTACTGCCAGATCAAAGTTTTTTGTGACAAGGTAAGTGGAAAGCAGAATTACAGTGGAGAGAGGACATTGCTGGACAGTTTATTATTATTGCTGTATTTTAGACCTAGTAAAAATTGTTTATTTTCCCAAAGAATAATCCTTCATGGTAAAGTTTGGATGAGCTACACTATAAATCAAACAAGTTGTCACCTGTCACCAAATTGTTTTACACTTTGCAGCTTCTTGAAGCCCCATTCTTCAGTTTAATTGAAGTAGTTGGACTGCATAAGGGCAGTGTCGTATAGGTCATGGTATGGGAAATCGTCATAGTGTAAGGGTCTCGGGAAGGTCAGTGCTGGAAATAGAGTCAGGCAGGTGGCTTGTGATGATCCCTCTTACAGTTCTAGCAGCAGGATAGGGAATATGTAAGCTTTAAGAAAGTCTTTTTTTTTTTTTTTTTACCTGCTCGGCTGTAAACACTTATTTTGGAAGCTTCAGTGAGAATTTTCTGCAAAAATTCATTAATCATTCACATTTTGTGGTTCAGCGACATTTTTTTTTCTTTTGATTACTCCTCCTCTTGGAAAATTTCATCTTTTTAGTCCTTTCACAGTGGGTTCCCCCACTTCGCAGGAACTGGTTTTCTTCAGCTGCTTCTTTGGCTGTGTTCTTCAGCTTCAGAAGAGATCACAGCTTAAATGAGTCTGACRATGTCATGACACCTGTAAGTACCACCAAATTGAAAAAAAATGCTCAAAAAATTTATCTCAGTGATTCTTAGGTGAGACCACTTTTCATTTATATTTTACAACTGCCAGCCACTGAACTTTATCCCTTCTGAGAAAGATATTTTTAAGCAGAGTAGATGCTTAGATTCTAGTCAAGGTTCAATAATTCAGGCGCCTATGTGTGTTTAAGTGACTATGAAAGTTATCCAAATTAGTTTTCCCATTTTACAGATGAGAATAGAAAGGCAAAAGGTCATGCCCCAGGCAATACATAGCATTAACTTCTAAAGAAAGGGTAAGAGTTCAGCTGTTCCAGCTCTCTTGCTGCTACTCCTTCCCCTCTTGCAGTTAATTCCCTTATTGCTGTCTGATGACAAGATCTTGAGGGCTAATCAGTTATATTATTGGAGGAAAACTGTTGAAAATGATGACTATAAATGTATGCACTGAGGTCTTCCTGCAACCAAAATGTTGTGTTTTTAATTGTAACTTTGAATGTCAAATATTTACAGAGATTTGAAGCTCTGATTAAGTTGCTGAGTTGATATCAAGTAACAAGGTGTTTTCACCTACCTGTTATGGAAAAGTAATTAGAAAAATTTGAATCTTTTTTTTWAAAAAGGAAAGAAATCCAGAGCACAGACTCATCCAAGATTGGCCATAAGGCACAACTGCTAGAGATTTTAACTAGTACATGTTCATTGCCTCTGTTGACTTAATTGGTATTTCAAATGCACTGAATGTGAAGCAGGAAATGAGTGTTGAGACTTTTATTCAAAACTGTCTCAGAGAAGAAGAAAAAGATCACAAGGGTAAAATGTTAAGAACATCAAAACAATATTGAAAATGGAAACTCAAGGGGTTTGGTAATGGGATATATATCTGTATAATACAGATATATACACACACGCACAGTACTTTCTAATTTGGTGCAGTGCTGAAAATGAAATGCTAGTTGGCACTATTGAAGAAGAACATTATTAGCCCTCTAGTGACAAAGATAGGATTTACTGCCTCTACGGTAAAGGCCTCCTGGTTCTTGCCCTACCCTTTATCGTACTTAAATGAAAAACTATTACGGGCCACTTCAAAAAAGAATGAATATCAAATGATTTTTACACATTTTAAAAGTATACTTTACATCGTCGYGTCCGGTCCAACGGCTGTAAAGAGAAATTCATGGAGAAAGTACCTGATTTGTTTTAATCTTAGATTTATGTTGAAACATGGAAGAAAAATWTTTCTGTGTCTGATACTATGATTATAAATGGTCTTTCTGCAGTGATAGTGCCTCTTTGGGGCTGGTAGTAGTGTTTGTATAATAACTTGGTTAAATTACAGTTACATGTGCCTAATTTTGAAGAAAAGTACCTGCTTAATTTAATGTTCTATGGCTGAAAAATGCAGCATAGCTGTTATGAAAGAGCGTCCTTGAAGAACTGAATCTGCATTTCTCCTCTCTGGTGAGGCCGCACCTGGAGTACTGTGTGCAGTTCTGGGCTCCCCAGTATARGAGGGACGTGGAGCTTCTCGAGAGGGTCCAGAGAAGGGCAACCAGGATGATTAAGGGAATGGAACATCTCTCGTACGAAGAGAGGCTGAGTGAGCTGGGCCTGTTTTCTCTGGAGAAGAGA